TCCAAAACGTAAAACAAAAACTGAGGAAACAACAAAGCCACTTTCACCTTCCCTTCATGTCAAGCACAGCAAGCTGCCCCTTTGACMCAATGGATTGAGATCAGTGAACCATCATTAGCTGGTCATTGCTGTCTGGGGTCTTTCTGGCAAAACTCAAAGATTCGGTGAAACTACAGAAGCCAAATAAACCAGCTCAGAAAAAAAAAAAACCTCCCAAAAGAGACCTCGGATTCTTCCTCGCAAGTCCAAGGGATATATACTTGTTATGATCATACAAGTATATATTTTCAGAACATCTGAAACCTGGAACACACAGGACAYGTACCCCCTACCAGCAGAAAAAATTGGCATGAAGCAGTAGGAGGCTCTAGGTGCAGAAGGAGGACATAAAGTATCCACTACCCAGCCAAGGCTAAGGAAGGCCAGCAATTAAAAGGAAGGTCCTGATTTGGGAGACTGTCTAAGGTTGTCAGGGGATGCAGCACAGCATTCTTAGTTTGTGAGCAGCGGTGTTTGAGAGAGCAGAGTGTACAATCATTTTGCTGTGTAGAATTTTTGGGATATAAATTAAAACCTATTTTCTATTACAGCAGGCACAGGAAGCTTTTTAAGTAGTACCAGATTTCCTGCACCCACACTGTTGATTTGTACTTGAGCAGCAAATACATGCAATGTGACCCAGAAGCATCTGAGATGCGAAATGTCTGGTCAACTTCTTCTGGTTTCCCACCCTATTTGATACTTCTAGGGAAGGAAAAATAAAAATGAAAATACTCCAAGCAGAGATTGTTCGGCAACATAAACATATGGCAGGCACACAGCCTGTGAAGCCCTGAGAAGTGCTGCTATTACTATCACTGAGAGTGATACCGGAGTAAATTAAATTTAAAACCCCTTAGATCAGAAAACTGGAAAAGCATGTGTTTATATAATTTAAACCACATTAGACAGCCCACCAACAAAACATCATTTCTTGATGAACCTGAGCACCTTGGCAGTAATTATGAGCTAAGAAGTATTTCAGACACATCAAGCAAGGAGAAGAATCCCTTCTTTCTAACTGCAGTAGCCTTTCACAGGCTCTCTGGTATAAATTGGACTGTCATTCTACCCTCTGACTGATGACAAGGAAGCTTGTCTGCCTGCCCTAAACAAATTAGATAAATCTGTCCAAAAATCCAAGGAAAACATATGCTGAGCGGTTTAGAAGTGCAAGGTTGGTCTTCAGTTTGAGATAGATACTATGAAAGAGCAAGCAGCTAAGAGAAACGCTGACCATTTCACAGCTTAATTCTTGCTGACTGCCCATATTCATTTTACAAGATGACCACAAGCAAGGATGGCTGCTGCTGAATCCAAGGTGTCCACTGAAAACAAAGAATTCTGTATCAGTTAGAAATAATTCTTTCTTGCTAGTTTTGGTCCAGGTCTTAGAGATTTATTGATCTGCAGAGCCCAAGTAATTCCTGGAGAATAAATCCATTGTCTTTAAAAAATAAAAAGTTGCATAGCAGCTGCAAATTCCAGTGGTAGAAGCTTGTGCTAACTTCCTCCATCCATTGTCCCCACCATTAGGGATTATGCAGCTATTTGCTAATAGATACTTGAAATTAGTTTATGTTCTGAATCAACAAGCTTCATTCTTTAACCACCTGATTTTTTACCTTTATTATACAACTGAGAATGCTTTCAAGAGAATGCTTTTTAAAAAGCAGTTCTATTGTGGTCTTGGCTTCAGATAACTCATTGTTTCACTGGACAATGAGGAATCACTTTTCATTGTTGTGGTCCTTGGAATATGTTACTAAAATTGTGATAAAAATTATATATAGTAATCTTTAAAAACTCTACTACAGAACATGTCATCACATTTAGTGCCTTTAYAGCATAATGGGAAGGGGTGGCAATCCTGCCCAATGGACTGAATGAGAAGCTGAGACAGAACTGAAATAGGGCACTGAGACAGGACTAGGWTTAAGGAAGGAGAGAACAGATTTGACATAACTACAGTGACACAGGGAGGGCAACAAAGGCAGGTCTGCAGCAAATGTGACAGAGCCTGACAGTCATGTTACAGTAGTGAGAAGTAAGCCCACATACAACTTGGAACATTTCATCTCTTGTACAGCCCTGCAGGCTTCTTTGTCTGAGAGGCAGCTACAGGCAAAGCTATCATTTGAGTTGGAATAGTGACAACACTTATAGAAAGTGACAAAAAAACTCAAAATGCACAGCAGTGCAGAAATATAAAATAACACTTTAACATGCCAGAACTGTCCTCTGTCTCTRCATTACAAACCCAAGATCTCCTTTGCCTTTTGGCAAGCAGACTACTAATTTGGCACCTCATCTCATGCCAACAAAAGGAATCAAGAAGAGATAACTTCTTTTGAAATACATTTAGGTAATTCAGTACTGGGGGTGTAGAAATTAAAGGAGAAGAAGATTGGTCATAAAGAATAGCCCAAATCCTACGACTGGAAGCATCAAACCAAAATATTGTAACGAACTTCAGCAGCACTAAAATTGCTTAGATTTACCACAGAGCCATACAAGAACTATGAGGACTGTACTTTGGAGACAGATGTTTGAACTGGAGCCAAGTGCAAGCCAGATAAGAGACCCATTTACAGAACATTTCCATCCTTGCTGAATTTTGCAACTGATAGACGAGAATCTTAATGGAACAAAAAAGGAAGCTTTTCTTCAGTCATCCAGCACTGAGCACAGGCTGACACCCATCAGATGACTCTCTCTATGAATTGCTTGCTCCAATGTAACAAATCAAGTAGCAAAAAAGGCATTTACAACACAAGACAGCCACCTCCATATATTATGACCTTGATATTCCTTTTGGAATTCTCTCATTAACTTCACAGCCCAAATAATCCATCACTGCCTCAAGAATTTTCTTTTCCATTTCCAGATTTACATAGAAGTTTGAACTCCCAGTATTTTCACCATTTAATAGAAGMAGCCATGAAGATAAAATAATTCAACAGGGAGTCTGAAGGCGTATTTCTGTCTCTTGTTCTGAGGATAAAAACAGAGCAACTGAAGTAGTGAAAGACTAAATGATTTATAAAGGGTTGAAAAATTGAATCCTCTATCAGTTGTGACTGAAAAAGTGTGATTTATTTTCAGATTGCTGTACAAATTAAAACAAATTTTAACTACAAGCATTAAACTATGTATACAGCGCTAAACGAGGCACAGCCCTGGAAGTCATTGAGAGTGGAATCCTGGGCATTGGGGGTGGGGTTTGCAGCCATGTCTATGAGCACATGCAAAGGTGCAAATAGAGTTGAAAAAGGAATGGAAGCTCTAGGATGGCCTGCATGCTGCTCTTCTCCCAAGCCATGTAGGAGGGGAAGGCAGTTTACACCTGTTGGATAGGTTCTTTACTTGGATTAGGTAATAGCTTGCCTGGATGGGGTCCAACAACAGAATCACCACCACTTCTCTCAATAACTTTAAACCCCTGAGGCAAACATTGTGCTGGAACAGAAACAGGCCAGGAATTCATTTCTCACATTCCTCTTCCTTAGGCAGGACAGAAAGTAGTGACTGATGAAATAAGAACAATTTTACTTGAGCTTTCCAAATCCCATTATAATCTTTCTGTTGAAGGACCCATTTGGGAAAGGATAACTACTCAGATCACATGCCTTCAGCACTGTGTTTCTCCCTCTCTCACCTCCCTCCATTTTCCAGTAGCACTCAGGCACCAATAATAAGAACCAGTATTTTCATGTGTACAGTGCTTTCCAGACGTAAACTCATGTCTTGGAGAAGCTCTACTTCATTATTCTGYTTTAAAAGACAAAAATGAACACTTAGGCAAAGAAATTAATAGTATTTAGTGGAATTGCAAAGGAAGAAYTCAAATCTCTAGCAATTCTGGGCTCGTATTCTAACCTGGTTACTTCAGCAAGTTTGCACTGTTCCTAGCTTCCAAGATTCAGACTCCTGCAAGCAAATCTTGCTGCTCTTTCAACCACAGGAAGAATAGTTTTACTGCACAATCAGTCCTCTGCCCTGATTCCCATGACTGTATAAGCCATAAATATAAATTCCAATATCTAAAATTRATATGGAGTAAAAAGAAGACATCTGGAAAACAAACTCTGACAGAGACTTTTTTATCTTTGAACAATCTAAACTTGATATTCAAGAAAAACACATGAAGATAAGGACTTAGTGAAGATTTTTGCAGCATCAGATTTGAGTTTGCATTCTGCATATATGTCTCAACACCAGCAAACCTAAACTTAAAGATGCAGGGAAGGGAAATGATCAGAGAGAAACAGTCATTTTCCTCTCATCCACCATATTCATCTATGCCCTTATTTCACCATGAACCCGATAGCTCTGGCAACATGGCTATTTTCATAGGGCTAGTTTCTAGACCTGAGAAGAACCATTACTAAGCCCTTAGACAGAATCAAGGAATYGTTTACGCTGGAAAAGAGCCTCCTTTTAAGATCCTCAAGTTCAACTGTTAAACTTAACAATACCAAGTCCATCATTAAACCATGTCCCAAAGTACCACATCTACACATTTTTTAAAAACCCCCACATGACTCCACCACCTCCCTAGGCAGCCTGGTCCAGTGCTTGACAACCCTTTAGGCGAAGAAATTTTTCCTAATATCTAATGAAAACCTCCCCTGATGGAATTTGAGGCCATTTTCTCTTGCCCTATCGTTTGTTATTTGGGAGAGGAGACCATGCACCTTGCTACAACCTCCTTGCAGGGAGCTGTTCAGAGCAATATTGTACCTGCCCCAACTCCCCAAGACTCCTTTTCTCTAGGCTAAACAACTTCAGCTCCCTCAGCTGCATCACATAAGACTTGTGCTCCAGGCTCTTCACCAGCTCTGTTGCYYTTTTCTGGGCATGCTCCTGCATCTGAGCAAGAAGCCAAACACAAATTACAAATGAGCTCCTGAGTGCATTGCATTCTTCTTCAAAAAGCTAGAGCAGAGATTTTAACTTACCTGACTGATGAAGAGACAGATCTTTTGTCTTCTTTATGAGTGTCTGACTGAACAGCCCACACTGACCCTCTTTTGTTGAGTGGTGACCAGTGGCTCTGTGGGGCAGCTGCATTCCCCTTGCTTATAGCTCCACTTGCCAAATCCAGGTTTGTTAACTAAAGAGGCAAAAAAAAAAAAAAGAACAAAAACCAACAACAAACCAACAACAAAACAAAAACAAACCCAAACAAACTATCAGAAACAATTAAAAGCCAAGAAAAGAGCAAAAGGTATCACTAATTAAAGGCGATAGAGCATGTACTAAGAGAAGTGAAACTGCTAGAAAATTGAAATCTTCAAACACTAAAACACTGCTAGCTGCTTAAAGCAGTGACAACTGACACCAACATCCAACTATGCCTAACATGAATTCAAGGGCCAGCATGAAGAYTCCAACCCTTCCATTCACAGAAGAACAGAGGAGGAAAAGAACAAAGATGGGGCAAAAATCCCATAGTAAGAAGGTTCCTGACACGAAAAATTAACTCCAGATGCATTGATCAAAAGCTAGAAGCTCATATTACTCTAATCAGAGACCAGGTATCTTGCCAGACATCATGAGCTGTGTCACCATATAGCCAACCATAGACACTTGTCTCTACCCCTCTCTATACAAACATACAGGCGCAACTAAAAGCATATGTACTTTGGATATACAATTCAAATCAAAACTCAACCACACATCAAACTTACACACAACTACTTACAAACTACTTTGTCTTCACACAAGTAAAGACACAAAAATTACATTAGGTGTACATTTGCTATATCAAGCGCTAAAATCTATGGGGTTTTAAACATTTGACATGTGTTCCTTTGTTTTTTTCTACGAGCATTCYTCCTGTGTTGCTTATATTCTTGAAAGATCAAACTCTGCAAGCTGACACTASCTGTTGATGTATTGAAGAAAGCCTAAATACATAATGCAATGGATCTACCACAGCAGTATAACAGTTTATATTTTGAAAAAAAAAAAAGTAACAAAACAATACAAAGGTTGCAAAGCCAACTTTGCAAAGGCCTCCCAGTAYAGGCTCTGAAATACAACTACCTTAAATTACGTGATCACATGCTACTTTTTCGGAGTATTGGAGTATTTTAGGTGTATTACCTGTATTGGCCCTCCTCACTTCATGGCAATTGGGAGACATAGAGCCAATGAGACATAGGACACAGAACAGATCCCAAAGGTGACGTCTATTAAGCCACCTGAAGTGTGACTTAAGCATAGCTTAACAATGCTCTTGTAGCAGAATTTGTGCACAATTGCTCAAACAAGTACATACGATCTTCATGGCAATACACTACACTCAAAATGGGCTTGGTTAGGACTACAGACAGTCCTCTCACTGAACTCTGGACCATGAACTAACATTGCAATTGATGAGACAGTAGGTTGTCTCTCCTGTGGTTTAGTAGTACAAGGCATATAAGTATTTYCTAAGTTCAGAACTCCTACTTCAGGTTCTGCATAGGATTAAATTCTAGTGGCTATACCCTAGGCTTCAGCCCACTTCTCCAAAAGCAGCCACCTTCATCTCATCCCTTCTCGGCTCCATCCTTTCCCATTCTTGCTCCTCATCTGTGTGTGATTATTCTCATGCAGTCAGTCTCAGTTTCTGCATTTCAGGTGTCATTCTCCTTGTCTTCCTCAGTTCAGTTTTGTTCTTACAGACTTCCAGCACTAGCCTTCCCACTACTTCTGGCCCCTGACCCACACCATTTAAGGTCTGGAACTTTCCACAGGGGTAGTTACTTGATCTGTCTTTCCACACTTCTGTTCTTGGTTCCTCACATGCCCTATATCCACATAGTTCTGGTTTTATTCCCCTCCCCAGTCCACTCCTTTTGCCACCTCTTTGTTCATCCAGTCCTGGATGAACACTGCTCACTGGGACACATTTACCACACTACCACTCCATCAGTTTCTGTTTTTCCGTCTGAATGATTCTCAGTGTCCTCTCCTGAATTATGTCCAGATACAAATTTCACAGCCTCCATATCCTAGCTGTTTTCCACACCCTGGCAGAATTCCTACTCATTCTGCAGTCCAGTCAGACATGTCCCCAACTCAACGTACACCAGGTTACTGAAAACACAGGAGACCAGAAGTCTCAAGTCAAAGTACACTAGAAATGCAAATACAGAGAAATCCAGTTTAGCATCCTCAGTGGGAAGAAAACTTTCAGGARGCTGAGAAGGTCAAGCAGGTCTTGCTGAGTAAATTTCACCTGAAGCTTTTTGTTACTGCAGTGAAGATGCTTTAAATTTTAATTAAATTCTACAGAACACAGCAACATTGAGGGTGACGTAGAGGTACCAAAATGACAATACTCTTTTACATATAAGATGGATAGCACTGCCCATTACTAACTTTGCCTGATAATATCCCACTGAAAGATCTTGTCTTAAAGTGTTTATAGTTTTCTGAAACTATAAACTAAAAACTATTGAATTTTAAAATTAAAATTCAAAGCATCTTCACTGCAGTAAGAAAAAGCTTCAATCTTGATTTAGTTCTGATCGTGCCAGGCACTATACAAATACCTAACAATGACAGTTGCTGGGCACAAAGAATTCATTGTCTGAAAAGAAGCAAGACTGGCAAATGATGCAAACACAGAAGGCAATATAGTAAATAAAACAGGTTCTTAGCTTGTCAGCAACAGTGATCACGACTTTGCTAACACATCCAATATGTGAAATGAAGATGACTTTATCCAATTTTCTCCTCATCATCTTGATGCCAAGAACCATTTMGTCTGACGAATTACCTCCTCAATCCTGCTCTATTACTGTGACATGCTTCCCTCCTAAATACTGTATCATTGTTTATTTGAAAGCTGTCTTTTTAAGCAAAGCAGGTGAGCAAATAGCTTAGCATGGGTAATAGGGACATYTCACACATTCCAGGTAGACAGGTGTTTAAACTACAGCAGGATTAAAAACAGGCAAATTATTCAGAAAGGGAGAGAGAAYACCAGCAAGAATATAAGGTTTAGCTGCAGCCAGCCCACCCAGACGGGTGTTACTGCTTGTTACTGTGCCATGCTTTGAGACATTTCAGCTGCTATAATTAGATGGCCAGGATGYTGGGTTGAAGGATTACTGAGGCAACCCCAACACATCTGTACTCAGCAGTGGCTTCATTTTCTATTCTTCCGTGCAACTAATGGAACTGCATTTTTCCCTTCACAGAGGCAAATACTTAGCAGCAAATCAGTTGATACCRTGGTATAGAAGGTGATGTAGAGCACTTGGACCAAAATATCCATAAAGAGCTTGTGTTTTCAGAAACAATAGTAATGGAGCAAAAAACAAATTAAAAAAATCTCCCCCAAACCAAGAAAGGCTAGKGGGGCTCAATAGCAAAGGGGGTTATTGGTGCAGATCTACAGACCTGTGTTAGAAACAGCATGTATATATACTGTTATATTTACTTCAGTATAATGCTAATAAGCCAAAACAAATTGCATAATGCTGAAATACTTTTTAACATTTATTTTYATTTTTAAATGTTACAAGGTAAGTTTATGACTGAAATAACTTGCCTTGACAGCAGAGACAACATAAGCTCAAAAGAATTGATCTCTATGGTCAAGCCTTATTCAGAGAAAATTTCTGAATAAATTTAAGACTGAAAGCAAGGCACAACACAGAACGACACCCCAAAGTGCTAAATATAGGAGTACAGGGGTTTTTGTTAATCTGCTTTAAAAATTCAATACGAATTATGAACTCTCCAAGAACAGATAGGAATAAAACCATAGGAYAGAATTTGCTTCCAATTAATAGCACCATACAGACAAAGATCCACTGTATAGCACTTCTAATAAATCACAAGCAAGAGTCAGAAACAGAGCTTAATATGTTTCACTCTTCTGATCTACATTATACTMGTCCTTCAAGAGTTTCCCATTATCATATCCAATAATCTTTTTTCTATAATAAAGTTAGTATTTTCCTTTTGATCTTCTCTAATGGTTCAAATAAGCTAAAGCCATGAACTGTAACAATCAGAAAAAAACAAAAATAATAATAAGCAGTGTAGCAAATCGGTATCCGTGGATTCAGGAAAAGCCTCCTGAAAGCCTGAATGCTTCTCTTGTTAGTTTGTAGGAGTCAACCAAGGTGAACAGGAACACATCACCACTAGAAGTTGTTACTCTGCCCCTCCTGGCAGACAATGAAACAGTGACTTATATTTTCATTATTAATGTCTCCTGAACAGCAGACCCTAAGTTTCACTGGTCAACATGCTACAACAAGCAATGCACTACAAAAATTGCCTAATTGATCCTCTCCAGTTGGTAGTTGTAACATTTCTCTGGCAGAAGCCAGTCATATTCTGTTGCCTAAAAAGTGGAGGAGATTGGAGATATGCAAAGTCTAAAGACCATTTCTCTTACTTGGATGACACTGCATCCTCCCCAGTCCACACATCTCACATTTCCATTTGTATCTTTCTGGTGAGGAGGAAAAGGGGTTCAGAGCAAGTTATATTTCATATGTCAAGCCTAAGAGATATGCCAAAAGAATGCAGTAACCATAGGCCTACTTTGTCTCTTCCAAAAAAACCTTAAAAGTGATAACATTTTCACAGTCAGAAACAGAAGGAGACAAAGTTTTCAGCACAATGCACCCTGTCAACAAGTTACAAAGGCATATATGAATATAGTTTACTGAGAAACCTTTTTATTTAAAGAAGGATTGGACAAGGATTGTGGTAAGATACACCTAAGATCACTACTCCTCTGCCTTAGGATCAGACCAGAATCCTTAAGTTTTGATGTGTCAGACAGGATAAGATGACACTGTATCATAAATTCAAAGAGGGAACCATTCCWCTTGAAAACTGAAAATGTGCAAAATGTCTCACCATTTATAGTGTGCTCTCCTTTGCCTTTCAATCTATTTTAAGCCATATGCTCTGCAAGCTTATGTATCCACATGTTTACCYAATTTGAATCCTTCAAGACCCTTCAATCAATCCCTAATTGTCCACTTTATTACTTATTGTTCATCCAGCAATGCCATCTTTATCCAATAGCTTGCAAATAAAATGTGCTTTTTCKTTCATTACCTTCCATTTAATTTCTTTCATTCATTTCTTTCA